TTTTTTATTTTTGTTATGGTTTCATGACTTTTAACTATGGAAATTACTTAATTGCACTTATGGAGTTGTTTTGGTCGAATTATATTTTGCCTATTTTAGCTTCTGATACCTAGTTTTGCTCCTTTGCGTTTTTCTTCCTTTTTCATTATTAGTTTGCTATTTTTCCCCCAGAACCAATCTCAATCAAGTTAGAAATATATCTGCAAGCCTGATCAACACGAAGGCGGGGTTGTGTCTTGTCTTTCTGAGGAAAGGGAGGCTCCAGAACCAGAAATATTTAAAAAAAAAAAAACAAATTGAAAAGAAAGACGAAACCAAAGTTTTTGATTTTTTTCATTTATGCCTACAGGCTTTGTTCACTTACAAGGAATCCCTTACAATTTTTACTTTCCCGTATACGTACGTGTATACGGAGTAGGAGAAAGACGAGCATAACGGCCAGGCTAAGGTTATTTAATTATTAAACTTATTTCTGTTTATCTAGAAACTTCAAAATCGTAGAATACACACATTAACCATCCTAGTGTATGTAGTGAAATTACAAAAATGTAATTTTTTAAAGATTTCTCTCGCTGTTAATATGCACGTTTCCAGCAATTTGTAAACAATATTGCATGTGTGACTAGAAGTACTTGACATTACGTTCGATGAAGTTTTTCGACAACTTAATAATTTTCTTTAAAAAGAGGTTCAAATAAGTTTAAGTATGGGCTGAACTATTCTTTTACAAATCTTTGAATTGTAGCGTATGGATGGATGCCGCACGTAAGCATTGGATGGAAGTTGATTGATATTGGTGAGGGTGAAAAATATTTAAAAAAAGGAAGAAGACAAAATATTATGGCAAAAATTAACATATTTTCATAACCAAATTTAATCCTTACTTCTCGTAAAAGTACATGCAAAAATAATGTATAAATATAGAATTCACTGATATTCAACATATACAAATGCAACTAAAACGCACTCTACACACCAAATAAAATTCGTAAAAGCCACGGAATCACAACGCAACACAGTCCACGGACGTTTCAAGATTTATAAGTTATAGAAAGCCTTGTAAGTTACTAAAATCTGATTGTTTGTTCTAGAAACACGTTTTGCCGCAATGGACTACGAAATTTCGCTTTCGCTTATAATGTACAACGTTAAGCTCTAAAGATTTAGAGATTTCCCGTCCTCTTACACGAGCTCCGATTTCATATTGGCACACTTCGCTCTTTAAATCCTCAAATCTTGTCATAAATTTAGTTCTTTGGAATATTGGCAACATCATCGTCTGAATTTTCACATTCATTTTTAAATGCAGATACATTTGAACATTTGCTAACAAGTTAAACATTTTCCTAAAAGAGATTTTCCGAACATGGCCCATTTTGTATATTGTACTTAGCGAAACAACCGTTTCTCTCAAAGGTGTTCCAATGTGGCATGTGATTTGTTTGAAACGCGGTTCACATCATCTGTTTTAACAAATATCTCTTTTGAAAACACGCCGAATCAGCATTAACTGTTGACACTATTGTAGAGAACCTCGATAGGTGGGCTTGCGATGAAAGAAACGTATTAAGTGCATGAAACTGCACGCCACTTTTTGCGTTCATGTGTTAAATCGCCCATCGTAGCTTCCTCCCTTGGCAGTAACGTTACGAAAGTACGCTTTACGACATTCCACGCGCCGCAACGATTGGCTGGCGCTCCATGAAAGTCCATTGTTTTAATTAGCGATAAAAATGCTAATCTGATAATTTTTTTGATGCTGACGTAACGTTACATCCAAAACTTTATTTATGACTTTGACCGCAAAAAAAGGCTTAGCTTCAAAATCCAATTTTTCGACGTGCTTCATAACGAAAAAAAACATAACGACCAGTTTAAAAAACGGGGAATGTAGCAGAAAAATACAAAATAAGGAAAATGATTAATAAAGTATTTTCTAGCTATTTTTTGTGTGGTTTCTTCAATTTTCCTATATATTTAAATTACTTTTTAATCGAAGTTTTTCTTCGTTGCCCAACGATACAACACAGGAATACATAATTTAACATTGAAGCTATGAAGGGTACTTGAAAGCCTTTCTGCCGATGCTGTGCGTGTAATAACCACACTGTTGCATCAGATCATTTTTACAAAGTAACTTAATAAATCAAGCCATGATCAATTAATTCTGCTGAACAAAAAGGCACACCAGGAAAGATGCTGAATTTCATTACCAAAACATAGAAACGAAATATTATTATTTTGCAATAATATGATTCCCATGATTATTTTCTCTTCAGTGTCCAGAAATCGCTTTGTTGCGCTGTTGAACTCCTCGTGGTGCCTCTTTGGCTCTTAATTCTGATTTAATTTATATTTTAATTTAACCACTCGAAATTTCTTTGTAAGTCTTCCGAGCGTAAATAATCGTTATAACCTCAAACGTTTTGTGACGAGCATTTTGATTACAAAACACAAAGAGCTCAAATAGTTTTTGTTAAAACAATCGTATTATATTATTTGTTAAAAACATTTAACTTCGTCGGAATTGATTAAGCATTTTCCCAGGAAATTGGCCAAATCGTTATACATGGTATACAGCAAGAGCATGACGCAGAATATTTCGCGCAAATTCCCGCCCTTGTGAATGTTATTAGAGCCGATGGCAATCAAGCGAATAAAACCTTGAAGATTTATAGAGTCTGGCCTCAGAATTAGCAAATTATGTGGAGCGCGACATTCATGTCATGGCTAAAAACTGAAATATGGCTAATGTTAGGAGGGCCTGGTTAAATCACACATTGGATAGATGTAGATAAAGATGTATGAATTACGATGAACGGATAATTTCCTTTCTTCATCTGGCTAATATCGAAATCAGACCCAACAGATGGATAAACTTTGGATAAACAGATGGATGACTTTTCAAAATAAGGTGAGGCCCCATGTGTATTCGGAAAAAGTATTTTGGCATAATCCGTTGAAAATTACGCGTTGGAGACACTGGGTTCTTTCATATAAATTGCGAAGGCCGAAAGCCAGAGGCTCGTCATCTCGAAAATGCAGAGCGAAGCGTCAGTACTCGTATGCTGATTTGAGGTTAGGTTCGGTGGAGTCCAGTAGCGTAACGTTCGGGTCCGGAAAACCCGCGATGCGGGTCGGCTCAGGTGAAAAAGGGCCCTTTTTAGGCGATATTTTTATTATTTAAGGTACTAACACAACTAGTGTTTGCTATGCACGTTTAAAAAGGGTGCTCGGATAAAAGTTTTGCGAGCTAGCTCACACTCATTTCGTTACGCTACTGGTGGTGTCGTGTAAATAGATATTTACGACTGACTCAGTGGAACACCAAACTATCTTCCTTTCCTCTCAATACCCTTTGAAATTTCCCTCTATAGGTCATGCTGATCCGTATTTATCACATATCTATTCCTTGTCACCACAACGTAATTCACTTACCCTAGCCACCTTTTGTTGGTTAATGTCCACTTCATCCATATAAAATCCCTAGTATGCTTCAAAACAGTTCCTTCTTCCAACTTCACCTCCCCATTCTGAATATCGTGATCATTAAGCGGCTAATTCGTCAATTAGCCAAATTCACACTTTACCCGTAATATATACATTAACAAAAACATGAGTCAATATGCTTTCGATACTTTCATTTATAATCATATGTAATGCACACTTTTGGATAGATTCGTCATTACAACCGATTAATAAGCGAATAAAATTCCACTATTCATACAGCCTAATTTAATAATTACCCAAAAACCACCTATTAATAAAACCATAATGTTATTAGTACGTATAATAGACGATATACACTAGCCTTTTTACTTTAAACAGTATTGCGCGCTTTTGCGTTTGAATATCTCAATTAAATATGAACAAAAATTAATTATGTAAGCATTTATCACGTCATTTAAGAAACAACATTGAGTTATACATAACAGTTTCCCATAAATTTACGGCTGACTGCTAATGGATATATTTAAGAGTGATATTTTTTTAAAATTATGTTTCTGAAAGTAGTGTATCCGCGGGTGGATGACTCGTAAGCAGACTAGGCACGTGATTACGACCCCCTTGGATAGAAGATCTTGAATTTTTAACACAATGTTGTATTTGTTGTAATTTTATTATTAACTGTTTTTTAACTTCAGATGTAGTTCGCTTCAAATCTCTTATAGATTACATGAAATGTTCAAAATTATTATGGCTCCCGTTGTTTGATCTCGCTAGGATACTAATTCGACCTTAGTTGCATGGAAACGTTGATCCAGGAAAATAAAAAATGAAAGTAAAATCGTAATAGTAATGTTGACCCCGTATAAAAGCGTACCGTGTATATAAGAAAGTAAGAATAAGAAAAATGAATGGTTATGTGATGCGAAATTGGCAACTACTGCTTGTGAAATGAGCGAGTGCTGCCTTGATTAACACTAGCATTATTATAAGGCGCACGCACTCCCACTATGTATACTCTTTGCACGCACATTGACTGAAAGTGAAATTCACAGAACCTTTGACTCAAACACGCGATCGTAGTCTCTTAATGAATAATGTCTTCTAATCATTTTTATCTCACGCATACATGGCCCCGGTACCCCGACAGCTAGCTGTAAGAAACAATTTCAACATTATTTGACTTTCAATAAAAAAATATTAACACTATTATACAACCAAAAGGTTCGTATTCGAATGAAGTGAAAAGGGAGGGGAGTGATGCCATTACTATGATCTTGTATGACTTTTGCTCTTACAACGCTGTTGACGTACTCCACTGTGTACAGATTGCTGTGTTTTACTCAGTCAACCCCACGGAGTGTGGTACCTCGCCCCAATTTTTCAACTCCTACACCCCGTGACAAGTTGAGAACCCCACACCCCATACCAAAATATAGATCACCCTGTTTAACGAGTTCTAGCTTTGGTAGATTAAGTCCCATTTCCCCGTACACTAAATTGTGTGTCCACGCCTTTGCTGTGACGCCTTGTCCCTTGTTGCTTGTGAACAGCTCCCGCGGCGGCGGGCGCGGGGCGGCGGCAGGCGGCGAGAAGGGCTCGGGCCCCAACCGCTCCTTGCCCGCTCTGGAGGCGGCCGACCTCTACTACACGCTGGACTTCAGCGACAGCCAGAGCTCGCCGCTCATCCAGTAAGCGAGCGCCGAGGCGCTGGCGCCGTCGCCCCCGACGACCTCCATGAAGACGACGACGACGGCGACGACGACGGCGCGGCGCCTGCGGGGCGATGGCCGCCCCCTTCGCAGCGGGGCCGCTCGCCCCGTCCCCCCTCCACCGCTCCCCGACCCCCGCCGCACGTGACGTCAAACCAGCGCCGCCACGCAACTCGTAGAAAGTACAATATTGTTTCGGGAGAACGCGATCGCAATTACAGCGAAAAAGCGAGTTTAAGATGATTGCAATTTAAAAAAATGAAACGTAGAACGTTATGGTCGTATTTTCTTGATACCGGTGATTACATTTTCTAGAAAAAGTACATACAAAGCGGTTGTTACGAATGTATCGTTTTATTTACGTCTTTATCGATTGCTCTAATCTGAATAGTAGTGACGTTGATATATCTTTATTATATATCCCTCTATACTCTACAATAATGCAAGTAGATAAATAATTGTACGTAAATGTAAATCGAAATCTCTTGTACGATTTTGTCGTGAAAATTAAACGAAATACCGACGCTTCTGACACGAGTTAATCAATTTTTACGTACAACTAAATTTGTAAGTTACCTTGCGTTAACATGAAAGTAATGAATGGTCGTTCCGAATACATTGGTACCTTCACATCGTCAATGCCGCATTGAACCGACTTGTTTATGTTAAAATTTGGGTTAAATTTGCATTGTGAACGAACTATAAATGCAGCGAGGAACCACGTAATGAACATGCAAACATCCCTCAGGTTGAATGTATGCCTTTCGATGTGCTAACGTTTGAGTTGTAGCGAAATTTAATACAGTGAAGAGTAGTATAACCACTATGTCCTCACTATCTGTTTCTAGATTATTTACGCTACACAAAATTTTAACAGGTCGCAAACATGTTGGCACTACAGATGCAGGGGCAATAGAAAGTTCATTACATTATCACTCTTGTTAAATCGTATAATTTACTCTGGATAAATATATTCAAACATCGAATGAAATTTCGAAGTAACCTTTGTTTTCAATCCTTTCAATAGTTTTCCAGTTCTATACCTTTTTAAATGGTCCATTCAAGCGGAGTATTATAGTGAAAAGTTGTATTGCAAATGCCAGTATATGAACTTGCGTTCAACTCGAGGAGCGCGGCCAAAACTGAATTTTTTCACGAAAATATTTTTCAAATCACCGAATATTTTCGTGGGTATTTACCTTGCATTAAATTGCACATAGTCTTATCTTTCTAAAATGCGATATTACGCAATAATGTATGCTCAATAAATTCTAAAACTACGATACATTTCAATTCATATTGTTGAGACTCGGTTTTTTAATTTTAATTACAAGAGCGTAATAACGGACCTGAAAATAATTCTGAAGGAGACTTCACCCAAAAGTGACTGTCTGAATTGTATATCTTTATACACCAGACAGTTCTGATGTTATACCGCCATTATATCATAAAATTTCAACTGCAGAAAGAACCGACCTACGGAAATAAGTTTTGTTTCTTAGGTGATGGTACATTCTGAATGCTTCATGGAATTCAAGTAGTATCTCACAGTGCAATTTTTGAAAGTTTTCAATACTTCTCTCTTTTTGCGTTATTCTTTCTTTTCTTATACGCCAACACTCAATTCGAAACAGTACATCCCTTCCTCCACGTATTTGCTAACGTAACTAATAGAAAGGTCCAGAATCATTGGAATTTTCCACACTAAAATAAGACTCAAATTCCGCTCCCCTCTCTGTTGGATTAAACTACACTCGTTCGTCAAATGCAGAAGTTCTGTTCGCAGTAATTCCCGTTGCATCCTATTTGGACAGGCTCTGAGTCCACTCAGAATTCGAAAGTTGCAGGGCCTCCATTACAACAATGTCACATCGTAGCGACTGCGTAGAGAACTCAATTTGAGTCTTGCAAGCGACATTGTATTTTCGACCCCGCATTAACGAAACACTCACAGAAACTTTATTTCCCGAAAGCGAGTCCTAAAACCAAAATTATGTATTATTCCTCATTCCACCTTTCCCAATGAAAACTTACGGTCAGAGTTCCGAAGCGTGAATTCAGCAGACGCGAATGCGTGGCGTACATGACGTAGTAAAAATGACGTTCTCTTTTTTTTTATTTCTCCCACTCCCGTCCAATTCGGGCGCGGTCGCATTTGTTTCGGAGATGAATAGGACCCTTCAAGGGCCTTGCACAAAGGGCCCGTAGCAATAAATTCGCCACTCGCTCTATGGCTGACGTGTGAGCGTTCTAACAGCACGTCTCTGGGACTCGCCGGCATCGGAAACGTCCCAACTTATTCCCGGGGACGCAGATGAAGTTAGTGGTATCCCCTCATTAAAATGAAGATTACTAGTCGGTCGTTAACCTGCGCTGGCCTGGTCCGAAAGCACGACCCGCTGGAGTTGGCGTCACGCGCTCAAGGCTGGGCGACCCCCAACCCCCTCCTCGGATTACCCGCCTTCGAGTTTTAACGCACTTCACGGTGACGTCACACTCGACACGCACCGAACTTGCGAGATTTTTTATTCACTCGTGTGCACGTTCGATTTCATATACGACGATCTCACAATTCTTTCTTTCGCCGACACGTGGTAATATTCTAAATTTAATATTTTTCAAACAGTCCCCCGCACAGTTCTGTGGTGTGTTGGTAGAATGTCATGATGCGGGTTCTAAGGACTCGAGAGACCAAAGAGATGAGTGTCAGATCGAGAAGCGCAGTGGATCATCGATTCATCTCGAGGGAATTAGAGTAGTATCGAATTAGTTCTTCCTCCCACAAATGGTCTATGCTGTATTTTATCCTTATATACAACCTGTGAAATTGTTTCCTCGTGGGTAAGGACAGTCTTTAAAACGTAGTTAGTGATGTTGCCTGACGGGCGCCAGAAACTAGTATCAATTTGGTTAGTAGAGCATTTCTGGCGCCCTTTGCTCACCGGGGTGCTCAAAATACACCCATCACCTCTTGTTCTGACGCCTCTGCAAACAAAGAAACAAACCAAAAAAAGTTGTTCAAACGTATTTTTTAAGAAACGCTTCTAGATACATGAGAGAACCGGCGAGCATGTAGCAGGTACCACTGCTCCGCAAACAAAATTTCCGCGTGTTCTATCCCTGGCCAGTCCTCAACTGCCAGTCCTCGCGCACCGAGCCCAACTCGTCCCCACCACGCGGTAGCACCCGGGCCTCGGCTTGCCCAGTCGCACCGGTTAGCGCTACGTAAGTGTGTCAGTCGACAAATTGACTAGTGCCAAAAGAATGCTGAGTAGGAGGTGTTAACTAGCAAAGAAGTGCCAAAGATAGTCATGTAAGACGCTTTGTAAGTCCGCGGGCCACTACCAGTGAAGTCCGCTTGCACAGCAGGGCTGTCCGGAGCCCTGCTGCCCCGCTTGTCCTGAGAATTGCTCTCTCTGCATTCCATCCACAAACATTCATTCAACTGCTACATTCTTATCTACTGGTATGTGTGAGATGTTGAACTACTGTTTCATTGTTATTGCCTGTTTGTCATTTTGTGAAAGTCAATGTACACAGTCTTCGGATATAATAAACTTGTGAAGTGTGCATGTTTGTACCCAAAAAATACCAAAACAGATATTATAATTTCCAACACCACTATAAAAGACTACCTACACAGCATTCAATATAAGAGACAGACAGTTTCTTTTCAGTACACAACTCTGAAAATGAAGGACCCAACAAGAAAGGTAATTTCCCTTCTACAATATGTTCCAAACAAAATGAAAATAATAAAATTATATAAAAAGGATTTATTTGTGTAAAAAATGAAATGACAGTGTATTTCACAAGAAAACTAGTACAGTTAGAAATATACCATACTAATATACCTTATCCCCCTACATCTAAATTGAAACAATCAACAAATTATGGTGAACAAAAAGAGACATCAAAACTTATCTCAGGCTGGAGGAAAAATTCACATCTGAAGAAAATCAGTAAAAATAATTTTCATGTCTTTCACACACGATTACTCATTAATATTTCATAATAATTTTCAGCAAATGTAAAGGAATTTCTGAAATCTGTGAACAAATATGGTGGAGATTTAACATTCTAGGTACAAAAATATTAAACAGAAAGTATAGTTCTAATACTTTTTTTTAAATATAAAGCCTTGCTGTCAGTATTGGTTAAATAATGAAATTATTAATTTTTGGTATACTACTTCCTTGGCAAAATATTTATATTTTAAACAATGGAATCAACAGGATTCAATGAGGTTCATTCTTCTGAATATTATGAGCTAGGATTCACCATTATCAACATTTTTATGACCATCGATATTATTCATTAATTTCTTGTTTGATGTTAAAATCTCAACAGGCATGTGAACATGATATTTCATATTCAATCTAATAGAGTTCCAAATATTAAGTATATGAATTACTCATTAAAAATTAAATATCTTAAGAAATTGCTTAATTTTTAAGCTATTTTAGCTTATAAAGTTCATAGCCTCTCTTAGAGATATCAAAAAATATTATTTTCTAAATGTCCTCAAGGATGATCCCAGGTTCGATTCCTGGTTGAAGGAAATATAGAGTGGTAGCTTTCCTTTAAAATAATTTCTGTTTATATTGCTGTGTGATGATCAAAAGATCAAGCAGGCAGAGTTAGGTAGTTACAGTAAAGTAATTACAACGCCTTAACCCCCTCAAGCATGGGAAATAAACTAGGTCCACACATGAGAAACACTGTTAGCTAACAAAGTCAATCAACCCAAAATGCCAAATACATTCATACATATTTTCTACATACATCACCAATTTCTTCCAATCTCAACAACTCTCCATCTACGAATGGAATTTCTTTTACCAATGATTACACAATGCTTACTTTTCAATAAGTTTAAACATCTCAATGTTACAATGAACATTTTATTCTATAATGCTTATTTTATTAATTCAATTTTGCCCAAGAAAATGAATTCGAATTCTTTAGAAAACAATATACGTACACCAATGACAAGAATATCGAGATCTTTGACTAGTAAGTGAACACAAATGTCATACAGAAACATTTTCTCCAAAAGCCACAATCAAAAAGGTTACTGTAGAGTACATAAGCAAAATTTAAATTTTATAGCTATGTATAAAATAAAAAAAAATGTTCAAGAGAATTTTCTTTAAGCTCTTGTGTACTTGTTTAGCTGTAAGCAGAAACTAGTTCTTTTTAGTAGATTTTCACAATAAACAATAACTTCATTTGAAGAAACTATTGAACCAATTTCATCAAATCAATTTTAATAATCCTAATTTAAAGGGTGTCTAATAGGTTTAAAAAACTGAATATATGAAAATTTACTTTTAATGACATTTAGAGATATACCACTTTATTCAATAACAAACTGTCATTTTCAAAAGAAAATGAAATATACATACATGCATGCATGCATGCATATCTTATTAACAACAGATTATTATAATTATGGAGCTGAGGAAAACAATGCTTAGTGATTTTTCAAGGAAGACTATGTTAAGTTCATGTTTGAACACTGAATACTTTGAACTATTAGAGAAAAAAATATTCAAAACGCTATTATCTGTTATGACTACTAATACTTGTGACTGAAACTTGAACTGCTTCTAAGATTTGTTGTTTCTGTTGGAGGAAAGGTAGTCGATGTGAACCAGGGTTCAGTTAGTGTACAAAGATATATCCAGACAAGTTGTATATGGTCATAGCAGGAGTGATGAGTGCACAAGAATTTTGCACTGTTTGATGATTGTGAATGAGAGGGAGCAGGATGCAAAAATCAGGCAGAAAGCTGTGTATATTGTGAAAAACTGTTATGTGATTAAATCACAACACATCAAAGAGATACTGTATTGGGTACACAATTGGCTGTCACAGTAATTGTTAAATTGTACCTTGTGCCCAGAGGAAGACTTAGTAAAAGTCAAAACATTTGCAATTTTTTAAGATATTTATTGCTAACTTGAACTCTGTAAGATAAACACCATTGATATAACCATGTGGAATGTTTATCTCAGAGGTTCACATAAATCTTTCAAGAAACTCAAAATAGTCATGTCTTTAACAACTGTAATCTTGAGTCAGTGAACTGTTCTTTTTGACCACAATAGGCACATGTATAAGGGTGGATCTAGGACAACTTGGGAGGGGGTTCCTAAAAAGAAACAATGTAATAATATTAGATAAAGAACTTAAAAGGGTTTTACAGTCAGAGATAAGCAGCTGTTTCTCAAAACTGCAAACTTTTTAATTTGTTTACCAAAACTTTTGCTTTTGCAGTGTATAAATCATCAGAATACAAGTGAAACTCACCAAGTCTATTTTTGACATTTATGAATTATTTATTTTGCTATATTTCAATTTATCTACAGGATCTGTTGACGTTTGATCAGCTGTTACAGTGTCATCAATAGAGAACTTAAATGTCACTACTGTAGGTGCCATCCAAGTTCCCGATTGGATTACACCATAACAGCTGATTTATTTCAACAAACTCTTTGTTTAAATCAATTAGTCACATTTTTTTAATTAATTTCTTATTAAAAAATGATCAATTCCTTCGATTTTAAGGAGTTCAGAAAACACTAAACAAAATTCATCTTTCTTAAAAGCAATATTACACATTAAAGTGTGTGTAAGAAACCAAGAGGTTTTATCTCTTATCAAACAAAATATATAGACAGATCATGACATAACACAATTTTCAACTTGATATATTCCCAAACAAGAATTAACAAGTTTCACTTGGGGACCAGTGATGTAAGATCATACATCCCCCAAATTATTCTTGAAGTAATAACCTAATTCATTATTTTTCTTCTTGCAAAATTATTCAAATTTCTTCAGTAAGACTGAGGGCGGATCATGATCTCCCTGATTCCACTGCACCTGGATCAGCTAATGCACAACAGCCTTTAAAGTCAGCCTAATCAGAACAAAGTGCATCATTCATTACATTAGAATGTGTTAAAATAATTTACACAAATATTTCTAATAATTGAAATTTCAATTAATTGCATTTAGAGTGAAACAAAAGCATAATATGTTTGTAGTTTAAACATAAGCATATGTGGAACCTAGAAATTGTTTTTACTCCTTTTTTCCTTTGAATAACATTTTTACACATTTGTTAAAAAGAAATTTTGTGAATATTTGTTTTATCTCATTCACTTCCTTTTATCAATTTATTCAAATTACAGAGATTCTCTTCACAAATTTCTCAGATATAAATTCAAAACTTTCTTTAAATTTCACCACCCAATTTTTCAAGAATACAATAAGAAAAATTAACAGTCAAACCTTTTATTACAAATGTAAACCTGTACAGAATATTCATGTAGCCATAAATGGGCAAACACATTAAAGCAAAATCGGTAAATTCAATTATTCATGGATTCATTGTGAATTTTTCTTGGCTTAAAAAGAGTTATTTATTTCACAATTAAAAGTAATACATTTCAAGGGGCTATTTTAGCAAAAAAGTGATTTGCTCAATGTCTCAAATGGGTGTTGCTGAGTCACTAACCTCAGTTACACGAAGTATTGTCAAAGCCAGAGAAAACACTTTTTGAGAATTTCTCAGTTAGATTTATAACTGAAGGTACATGTATTAGGACTAGCTCATAAAGAAGTATGCATTAAATACTAATTGTCCTTTGTCGTGAATGAAAACGTACAAAGAAAATTGACAAACTTGAAAGGAAGAAAACAATGATGTGCATTGTGTAAATCAGATGGAGATGTCAAGAAAACTGAAGAAATATTTTAAACATATTTTTTCATTATTAATATGGAGCTGTATTGAGGTATTCAATGCAGAATTTCATAAATAAAATCAATTTTTTCTCATATTCCTCACACTCACTTTCAAAAAGTGCTTGTTGAAAGATGCTGAAGTGTACTCTTTGACTGCTATAGTTAAAAAGTAGTTAACTTCACTTTCCTGAGACAAGCAGCATTGAGCACCTAAGAGACGGGTACTCACGAGATGTATATGTATTTCTCAATCACTCCACAAAAGTTTGAAATGATCAAACAACTCATGTGACAGATTACAGAATTACATCATCGAGATCTATTTCTTACCACTGTATTTTTCTTCTCAGTTACATCTCGTGTTTCTCTAACACAACACTTTTTAAAAAATCACTAATATTTTATATCGTTTTCATGACCATTAAAGAGGACAATTCATATATTATGTCTTTTCTTGCTTATTCTTTCCTGATCTCACATTTTTCAAAGCCTTTTCCAAAGCTTTAATTTTCTCTTCAAGTTTTCGTCGTGTACTACTTGCATTTGTTTCACCATTGTGTAGTCCTTCTATCAGTTGCTTCGATTTCTTCTTCTTGGCCTGTTTATGAGAGTTTTTCTTTGGCCGAGCTCTTTCCTCACTACTATCACTCTCCGCTGAGCTACTATCACTATCACTACCACTGCTTCCTCCACTACTGCTACTAGATGAGCTGCTTCTTCTCCTCTTTCTCTTCTTTTTCTTTTTATCTGCTTCTTTCTCCTTCGATGCTTTCTTTTCTTTCTTCTTTTTATTCTTCGACTCAGACTTTATTTCTACAACAGAAAAAATTAATGTAACTCACAAAAATAAAATAATCATAATTGGTACAATAATTACTTTCATTGAATTTATACTCAGAGGTGGATGTGATCTGGTTATCAATCAATTGGTCTACAGGTTAAACGTACACTACCAAAATGCCCATTAGAATAAATGTCCACTTCATTACAGGCCCAATACTGTTTGGTCCAAGTTATTTATATGGCTATTGTAGAAAGGTCCAAGACCTAAATGTCCACTGTAAATAACGCTCTGAGAATGATATGGAAAATGACATTTTATTGACAAAAATCTATGGCCACTATGTTGACTTTTTAAAATATTACACATGAGAACCAGTAATTTAATTTAAATTTTCTTCTACCACAGGATCAGCATGCAGTTTCATACCAAACAAAAGAACAAGTAGATATTGTTCCACATTATTGTTGTGCTTGTAATCGTGGTATTTGCTCAGTATTCCTTCAATTCACCTTCGATTTGTAACATACCTTTTTAGTTATGGGATGTCAAACATTATTGTGTCTGCTTTAGAGCTGTATCATGATTTGTTATGTTTCATTTTGTTCATGTCTAATACTTTCTAAAAATCTCCAAATATTCGTGGTGTCCAGATACCATCTTTTGAAATTTAGAATAGAATAGCATTTTCAATGCCTTTACTTTGTTCCTTCTATTGCTACCTTGTGACATAATTTCACAAAAGTTCCAAATTGGAGAAGTATCCGATGTCTTTGTGCTTCCCAACCAGTAACATATGTTTGTTGGTTACATTCTGCGCGTTTTAAAAGGTCTTCATCGATTTCTTCAAATAGCCTTTGGAATACCATTTCTATATCGTTCAAAGGACCAATAGGCAATGCTAGAACCTCTCACATTTGATTCCATTGCGTTCATTTTTCTGTGTCTACTTAGGCTTCTTGCAATCCATAACTAACAATTTTTCTACACACAGCTTGCGAGAAGTGAAATCAGTACCTCCAATGGTACTATTTGGGAAACTCTGCAGAATTTAAGTTAGATATTTCAAAGTCCATCATTATGGTGGGTGGTTCGAGTCTGTGACCTAGTCAATGAGCTTCTGATTGCAAAATGTTGTACATGGTGTAATTACTCTTCATTTTTTTGTGTTGTTAGTGCAAACATCAATTGAAATGCTTGGATAGACAATTCCCTGCACAATTACAAGTTGCATGAAAAGTGACAGGACAATTTTAAAAGTTCAATCCTTGTAAATACATGGTGATGCTCAGAGATGTTTGATGTTTCTGGTGGTTGCAAATATAATAATTCTGTATTCATTATTTTCTCTCAAAGTCTGATAACAATAAATGTTCATTCCGAAAAGTTGAACCATATGAATGAAATATATGAAGGTCTCTTATACTTCTAAAAATTTGCAGCTGATGACAATTCTGTTCCCAGTTTACGGATCATAGTAAATTGTTTCTCTCAGACTACAACCTCTTCATTTGCAATGCCAGCTATAGATTCTCTCACAGTGAGGATTTTTGTTAGATCATTCAGTAATTACTTGTCGTTAATACTATGCACTTATTTTCCTTCGATGGCAGCAGTGTTCAACTCTTAGATGTGAGCCCCATAACCAGCCTTTTCTACAAGTAATATTGTCTATATCATTATTGGTTGCACACCAGTATTTGCAGATTCCTCTTTCGGAACATCTCTAATACTTTTTATTTCCATTTCTGCTTTGGGAATGGATGTGAAATTTAAATCCATTTCTCACAATAATGTTTTTGGTCTTCTGCGAAAAAATGTAAGTTGCCATTGCAAATTACCTTAAATATTGATTTTAATTTCTACAGCAACACATTTCTATAATTAACAAATGTGCTAAAATGAAACATGAATGTTATTATTGATGTATTTCAATCGAACAGAATCTGTCATTACTCATTTTGTCGACAATATTCAGTGGACTTTCTTGTGGACATTTTTGCAGTGAACATTCCATTCATGGGCATTATGGTGTGGAAGTTCTTTGCTCTGGACTCTGTGTTAATTGGACATTGCCCTGTTGATGGATTGACTTGATCTGAATTTTTCCATCACCTTAATAGATATTTTGGGAATATACTCATCATCACCACCAACAAAGACTTACTATGAATGCTGAAGGCGTAAAAAATATATATAATTTGTCAGATATTTCTAAATAAGGCTTCATTATTTTAAGGGATGGAGATAATACATAAATATTATATGTAAGAAATACAAATATACGCATTTCTGTTTCTTACATACAATAATTAGGTATCATCTCCAATTCTTAAAATAATGAAGTACTATTTATAAATATCTGACAATTTTCAGAAGATATAATTTGTTGTCACAGGGAAATTTGCAGGAAAAAAAAGAAAGTAGAATAAAGATGCTAAATTTTTAAAAAATTCTGACTTAAGTTAAAGCAAATTTCATGTGATAAAAATCTCCTACTTACAAAAGACACGAGGGCATTACTAAGATATACCCAATTAATGCACATAACCAAATCTTCAGTTTAATCATAAAATTTTAATCTCACCTTTCCTTCCCCTTTCTCCAACAAGGTCTACTACACTGGGTGCTCTTTCAATTATCATACAATCATCTTGGGTGTCAAGTTTTTCTTTTTTCACATCTGGTTCTTTCTTAATAGCTGAAAAAACAGCAGGAGCACAGCCTTCTTCCTGCAAGCGTCGAGTTTCTGCATCTTTTTTTTCAGAGTCCTTTGGTGCTTTGTAATTTTGAACATGATCCACTCTCAAAGTTCGCCCCAAAAGCTGCAATACAAATATTTATTTTCATTAATACAGCCAAAGATATTTTTAAAAAGATACAAATTTACAAAATAATTGTTTTGTTGAAGATATTCATTAGACCATTGCCATTAGGTACAACATTAAGAAAATCCTGATAAAAAACAAAATGAAGATTTCTGAAATCAGTTGCAACATTTGAAAGTGAGCTTTAAGCTATTGAGCAATCAGATAACCATATCTAAATTGATAGCATTCATAAAGCCATTACTATCATAAATATAATTTCAACCAATGTAAAACTTAACATTGATACAATAATATCTCTTAATGAATTAACTACCATGGAGGTTTTGACAAATAAATGTGTACCATCTATAAGAATTACAAATCAAGTTTAATTTTAGGAAAGCAACACTTTTTCATCTCTCAAAAGTAACTTCAAGTCTTAGGTTCATTAATGACAATGAACTATACTTCATTCATTGTAGCAAATCTTTGTAAATTGTTATACTCATAATTTTATCTCTAAACTTGTTCTTGGTAAAAGTGAAAATAAAAAAGCTTAAAAGCATTTCTTTACATTTCAAGACATTTTGAAAACTACATTATGAATTTAGTAAGTACCTGTATGTTACAATCAAAGTTGAATCCCTTTAGTTCAATTACAAGAAATAGGTTTCCTCTTTGAAAATGGATCCCAAATTAAAGGTAAGCGTTACAAGATTAAGTTAATGCTGATGCCATTTGTTTTGTAAGATATACTGATTTTTACAGTATTCTCGGAACAAAATATTGATCAGATTAAGATATTTTCTGATAATTTCAAACACAGTCAAGCATGTAAATGGTGCCACAAAAAAAAAGCAAATCTTATTCTTTTTATATATATTTTGTTTTTTCCCCTCTTTATTTCTTCCTGATAAATACTCTTAAACAGGATCACAGCACAAAATTATTTCAATCTTTAAACTGCAGTACATTTGAATAAATTGGAACTACACTTTAATTTTCTTATCATTTCCTTACCCTTACCAAAGTAAGAAAATACTCTTCAGAACTTACTTTGATGCCATTAAAGTTATCTACTGCTAAATCAGTGCTTCGTTGATCTTCATAACACAGAAAACAGAATCCTTTGGGTTTTCCAGAATCTTTATCACGAACTAAATTTAAATTAACAACTTCTCCATATCTGTAAGGCATTCAAGGTTACATTCTCATTTGTCTGATTCAAAACACACATAACTGACGCCAATCATACTGTCACCAAATACTTACTGTGAAAACACGCAAATTACATCGCCTTCTGTAAGGTCATAAGGCAAACCTCCAACAAACACCCAGGCACTGTCTCTGTACTGATCATGCCAGGATGTCTTCAGATTCCTCCGTAGTTCTTGTTCGCTAAGCTTTTTAATGTTTTTGACGTTCCTACATGAACATAATTACGTAAGTGGCAGATTAAACAATAAAATGCTAAATTACATTAAAACGATTCGAGCTGATATAGGTTATCTTTTGTAAACAAAAAATTAAGACTTACGTCATTGGATTCATTTTTAAATAATTTTCTTTCTGTCCCCTTCAGTTAAAAAACAAACGCAACAACTTCTTTCGGAGGCAATTACAGCATTATTACAACAATTTCTTTCACAGAATTAACCATTATAACTTGACCGGAATCGATGATAAACAATCACAATCACTTGCAGTCAGATGCATGCTTGCCAAAATCACAGATTCAAATGCAAATGGTTACCACTGGTGAGCACGTTGGCTGGCTGTACTGGTTCTACCTATGCGAAGAAAGTTTCCCTTGACAACTGAATATCTCTGGCGTAAACAAACATGTTCTGATAGGTTATATAAACGGATATTCGCTAAAAGAACTCAATCATGGTGAGTAAACGTAAATTATATTAGCATTTTTGTTTTAATGTATTAATTTTTGTTTAAAATGAACCTTTTCCCCGTAGTTTTCAGGAAAACAACAGCTGTTCTTGGCCATTACTATCCTGATTATAAACCGTCAGGTTTGAACGATTATAATTTTATTTTGCCCTTTTGAGTTTTCCTTCGTCAACGTCCTGTCTTCGTTGCCTGTTTCCCGGCGTTTGTGTTTATTCATTTTTATTCAGTTATTTTTTCTAATATGTCACACTATCCTTTTGAAACAACAATCCTTGCTTTGAATAACCTGTGTTGACTGTTCACCTGAAACTTTGAAATTTGTTATTCATAATCATGACAAAACATTGTACTCCAAATAATTACTCTTACATGAATATTTTGTGGTGACAGTGTGATCCAGAAAACCTTCGTTATGCCTTTAATACGGAGTGGTTTGATGCAGAGGCTTCTCTCACGAGGCCTTACCTGCTTTTTTATTACCCTTCAGACTGCTCTGTGGAACTGGTAAGTCTAGATTTTAAAAGAATTGTATTAATTTCTTAAATAATCTTAATTTGTCTTAATTTAATACCCGTCAATTTCATTTCTGTAGAAATCATTCCAGATTTCTTTCACTGAAAGTATTGTTTTAGTGCTGATATTTTTAATGTTTACAAGAGGTATAAAGTGTATATTTGATTTTTCTGAAACATGTCAACAGTTTTACACATTTTTATCATGATATTGTGTCATTGTTTGATAAATAAAATCATGGAATAAAATCTAATATATAATATCTCATAGTTCTCTACCTTAATTACAACAATGAAAAACCACAATTAATATCATGATCTAATGACAAACAGTTTGTATTTGACCTAAATATTTACTACTCAGCCTAACTCTCTCTTTTATCCTAATGCATTTCATGTACATGCAGCAGTTCTAATGGAAGAATAATTTGTTGGTAAGATTTCCATCATATTATTGTGTTTGAGTGCAATGTTTTTTACAATGTGTTTATTGCTTATTTGAGCTCAGAATAAAATTCTGTGAAATGCATCTGCTTGTAGAATAGGTTGTATACATTTTTCTTTGCTTAATCAACAGTTAAGTAAAACAAATGATAGGAATGGCACTTATTCAAGGAACCATTACAAATGTTTATTTTAATTATTCATTAATATTTAATTCATATGATTGAAACAATGATTTTTTATGTCACTGTAAAGCTACGCTTTTTCAGTGTTTGAGAACTTTGAGGTTAAAGCAAACTTTGAAAATACCACATTTTGCTCTGCATGTTATTATTTATTTCAATATTGAAGGTTGCCGCTTGAAAGTGAAAATATTTGAAAAACTTTTCATGCATGGAGCATGATGAATTTTCATTCAATATTGTTGACAAGAAATAAAAATTGATTTTTGAAGAGAGTATCTCTTTACATACTACTGCTTCATAAAAATCATTTATGTAAAAAAAGGGGAGAACAGAGTACAATGTAGGGCTAAAGTAAGAGAGGTAGAGATATGTTCTGCAATTGTTTCAAAACAATTCTCAAGGGAGCCATATATCAGTTGAATTTTGAAGACAGAAAGAAATGAGCCTTTTTTTGCAAGGGTTGTTATAAAAATATTTGCTCTGATGTAATAAAATCTATTTTTAAGGGTAAATCAGCTATCAATATGGTCTCTTATCCCTCATCATGTCGTTCATAAAGAAATAATACTTCCTGCTGTGACAACATAAAGAATAATAATTTGAATAACTCATGTTTCCCACTGAATAATAGAAAATATAGCACAGATGATGAAGTTGCATTAATGTCCAGAAGTAAAACTAGGGACTATCTCAGCATTTGCTCAAAAGATCTGGTAAACTGGATGAAAAACCTGATCGAGATGGGGGTCATTGACCCAGAAGCTGCACTTCAATTCTTGTTACAGGTTGTTTAGAATTATGCAGTCCAAGTGGTAAACAATACATTAAATATCATTGTTCAAATTAATGTTCCTTTTGATGCTTGATATAGTCTCTAATTGTATAGAAACAGTTGTGAAGCAGAAAAGATTTTACTTGGGACTTAAATTTTGTATTGAATTTAACCGTCTAATGTCATCTGTCAAGTGTTATAATGTAATGTAACCATTGATTCGTAAATTAAAAGACCAGGTAACGGTAAAATATATAGATTAATAAAGAGAGGCGAGTGTGGGATATGCCTATTATTCATACATTTCGTTTTTTTTCTCTCTCTCTCTCTTGATGGCTGGGAGCTATAAGACGTATTTCCTCAGAATATTACGCAATATCTCAGACGGGAATGAACATTCCCAAAATATACCCAACAAGCAGTATGAAGAATGACTGAGTTTGAAAGATTTCTGAACGTGTAACATAATGAACTAAATTTTGGGGACCATTTATTTAAATGGACGTTCCATTTGAGGTTTGACAAAATTGAGAGATCCTAAAAGTTCCCGTAACATCAGTCAATGGCACACCGTTCATTTTCAATGGAGTACAGAATTGTTTATTTAAAATGAAAAACTGCAATGAAACAGTTTTCTTTTCATTTACTATTAATTTGTTATTACGGAACCAAATTGAAATATCTGATATTGTGCTATTTACGTTTCTTTATTGCAAAGAATATTTGTATCATCTGCAAAGGGAATTGTCCTTCCGTTTCGAATCGTCGAACGCATATCGTTTAATAGGAAGAGACAAGGGAGTTTGTGCCACCTCGAACATTACAGCACTATTAGCGCAATGCGCAGTTCAAGTTTCGCACTAGTGCATCTGCACATGCGCAGAAGATCGAGAGTGCTGATGCTTCGGCGTACACAAACTCCCCAATTATTAGGGCCTAATAGGTCATAAAATTGATCCCTGCGGGACTCCATGTGCAAATGGCAATGAGTCGGAAAGGTGTGTACAAAATGTTCCATCATCCCAGAAAGGTATTTCTGTTCTCTGACATCGTTGTTTAAGGTACGAACATTACCAATGTAGAGCAATACCACGGATTCCATATGAAGGTAATTTTGAAAGTAAAATGTGATCAATTCTGTCGGAAGCTTTTGAAAGATAGAAAACCATTCCAAAAGGTGCTTCGTTTTGATCCATTTATGAGGCGACATGTTTAAGAGAAGAAAATAGGACTGTTTCCGTAGATTTTAATTTCCAAAATCCATGTTGGCAATCTGAAAATACGTCGTATTTACTGAGAAAGCTTATTATTCGTACGTAAAAAAGGTTAATAAAAATTTGTGTATTTAACTTTAAATAATTAATCGATTTAGTGAATAACAATCCTTTGAGTATTTAAATTTGTATTAACAGTAAAACTAAGATATATATATATATATATATATATATATATATATATATATATATATATATATATATATATAAATAAGTCGTCTTACTCATCTCATGTGTCAAGTACGTTCAGTGTTTAATGGGCTTTTTTACCTAACTAATAATGTTAGAAAGGAACTAATCGTAACCCTCGGAGTGACACACGGCAAAAGCTAAAGCTAGTACATACATAATGACAACAATATGATAACGATGTTTTCTTCCCCGATCATAATTTAAAAGAAATGTCCTATATGAGTGTGTTTAATTGCAAATGTGTACGTTTCAATAGTTTATATCCAGTATTTAAAGGGTACAATGAATTCTGCTGACCTATGAAAGTATACCTGTATAATGAAGCTTGTCGCCCGCGAGAGCGTTCAAGAAACGCTTAATACATGAGTACACGAGACGTGTACTGCAGTACACGTCTTCACTTTTTGTTCATATTTTTACGAGTATACGTGCCTGAATAGTATGTTTGTATCTGTTTAAACGTGTATGATTGGTTGATATTTAGTGTGTACAAAGGCGACTGGTGCCCTAACAATCGAGTGACGGAAATGTAATTTCCAAAATTCAGAACACTATTATTATTAAAACGTAATCAATTCATAAAAATTAATCAAACCAAGTTCAATAAATGTATTTATATCAAACGTGACTTATATTGTATGCGCAGTGTCTTTGTCAGATGTTTACCTATAATGCACATGGTTCAGGTTTTGATTTCCAGAGGGGAATCGCCATAGTTCTGCATTGAAATGCCGGTAATAGAATTCATTCAAAACCAAACCGAGGTAGGTTTTGGACATACGTGATCGCCCACCAGTTCTTTGCAACAAGCACTATTATGTGGGTACGTTTTACTCTAGTTCATTTCATAATTTTAGTTGTTATTGTTGCTACTAGTGATGATAGCAAAATAAAATTAATTTATTTCGCAAGTTTCACTGCCATGGTATGTATTGTAATAATGAAAGATCTTCAAAACACTCGTGTTCACAACGACGCTTGCAGAATAACTGCAAGTTCTGCCAGGAAGATTATTGCACACACAGAGGGACAGAAAGAGGCATTTTCTTCCGGAACGGCCAACTTTACACCAAGGAATCATCAAATGTATATTTTGAATCAACAAACATAACATCAAATGAAAATAATTTCTTCAACATCATAAATAATGCATCCCTTACCGTTTAGAATTGGCTGAACTTATTTTTTTCAGTAACACGCGAAATTCATAAATTAAGTTGCAAATAGTTTCAGACGATGCCAATACCCATTGTATGTATAAATTGTTCATAGTTTAAGTAAATAATTTGTGATACTTTTCTGAGAATATGTTCCATGCACCATTTCACCGCAAAGTTCCATCAGCTGGGCTCACCATTCCATATTTCCACACATCCACACACTAATAAATTCCTTATTTCTGGCTTCCAATACTCCTCTCCGATAACAGTTCACTCTCCCGAAAACACAATAACTTCCCGGCACATGCTAGCACCCAGACCGAAAGCGTTCCCGCAAAACCTCTTA